CCTCCTTTCATCATATCCAGAGCCAGGAGAGCTAATCTAAAGACCTCATCACATCCCCTCTTCATCCCATCTCCTTATCAAATCCAGATCTTCAGCATCATCATCACCAGTGTCTAGACCGCGGGGGGTTCCCTACAGTATATGCTCACGGCTGCTTTTCCCCCTTTAGATATACGATTTCAGGATCGGGGTCTAATCGCCAAAGACTTAACATTTATCATGTGACATGTGTCAATAAATGTTCTTGTACAAAATGAAGTCTCTCCTGATTGAAATATTAAGACTGCAAACTGATGGATGTGTTGTAACTAGGGATGTCCCGATCACCTTTTTTTGCTCCCGATCCGATTCCGATCATTTGATTTTGACAATTTGCCGATACCGATTTTTCCCGATCCGATCTTTATGCAATGCATTAAGAGAAAAAAAAGAAAAAAAGCATTCAAGTTGTCCCTTAAGGTTATTTTTTTATTTAAATTGGATATTCTATCCAACATGGATATAGCTTCTTTCTTTCACAGCAGCATTGGATCAGTTCAGTTGTGCAGCATTGGATCAAAACAAAATAAAGCTTATCGGTACTCGTTAGCTTACTGCTACAATTAGACACTGCGCCCTGCCCACTCTGTTGCCAGATTTGAGAGAAATAAGCAACCAGGTCTATGAAAACAAGCCCCAAAGAAGCAACACATACATGATGTTCTGTAATTTGAAACCAAAACTAAGGCCTCAGGATGACTTTAAGACTTGAACATGGTCATTTTTGTTTTGTAACATTGAATACAAAATTTAAAAAAAGTATTTATAAAAAAAAAAAAATTAAAATCCCGACCCCCGATTTTTTTCTCCCGATTCCGATCTTTTGAAAATCACGTGATCGGCTCCGATCCCCGATCACGTGATCGGATCGGGACATCTCTAGTAATTATGAGGAGTGCGGTTTCGGTACTGTGGTTTGAGCGGAATCCGGATTGAAAAGTTTCATAGAGGTTATTAGCATAGAGATGATGCTTAAGTTGTGACTTAATAATGCATCTTTTCAGCACAAAATGAGCTGTTTATATCTGTGGCCATCACAAGACCAATGCTTTCCTGCCCGCCCGGAGTTTATGGAATAAATCAATACTCTAGCTTTTACTATATGGCCAAAAAGAGATCTTCCTTTCTGCTCTATGACCCTGTCAAACCCAAAGACACGAACATTTGACACTTTCTGTTGTTGAAACTTACACCAACATTTGACTAAACAAATAGATTTGACGTTGCTCAGTGCACTGAGGCTAAAAAAACAAAACATAAACAAATGAGTCTGTCAACACACTTCCGGCATTAAGGAAAGAAATTCTGAAAATAAGGAAACAGTAGAATGAAGAAGCAGGTGTACTAAATTGTCAATACTCATGTGACATGAAGTAACAAGATGAGTACAAGGACACAAACAAATTCAGAATCACTGCAAGTTAACTAAACCACACAATAAATGACGAATGTCTAAACAACCATATATTGATGTTTAAAAATATCCTCAAACCATGTGTATTTTACTTCCATTTACCATATAAAAAGCCAGTGATATTTAGACCTTTACAAATAGATCGTTTTTGGCATTCGAAGGACTCTTCCATTGTGCCGTTAGCCGGGTTATGACTTGATGTCTTATTGTATCAGCAGCAACACTGTGTGCTGCCCAGTTAAATACAAAATGTGTTGTGACAACAGAAAGGCAGCATGCAAGTAAAATAAATGTTTTGTTAGGGATGTCCCAATTAGGATCATGATCCCAGTCTTTTAATATTTGATCCAATAGAGAGAAATCCTCTTTCCTTTCATTGCTTGTGTCTTCTTTATTTGCTTAATTTTTCTTAAGTTGCAGATGTGTGTTGAGCTCTCTGAGCCACCATACAGGCAAGCATTTGCTTCTTTAGCAGCTATGGTGTCCTTTTTCACTTAGGACTTAGACATGTCACCATAGGGACAGCAATTGGGTAAATAATAAACTTGATAGGGGATGAATTTCATTTTTTGACCCTCACTTTGACCCTCCTTGAGAGTTAGGGTCAGGGTCTTCTGTATCCTCCAGATACGTACAAATTGAGGTCAAAATGCAAGTTAAATGCCCATATTCTCAATTTTTTCTCCTTTATGATTAGTAGATTAATGACTATACCTGCACATCTTAATGCTTACAAAGTTCTACATTTCACCTTCTTACAATATCATCAACTGTAGAGAAAATGTAAAGTACAGATAAAGGGTTCTTATGTAAAACTTGAGAGCCAAAGTTATTAAAGGTCCCATGTCATGGCCATTTCTACTGATCATAATTCCATTGTTGAGGTATACTAAAATACATTTATGTTGTGCAATTTTCCAAACTCAAAATTGGTTTCTCATACAGCATCTCTGTATACAGTATGTGTATTCACGCTCTGTCCTAAACGGCTAGTTGGAGCTCCTGCCCCCCCTCCCTGTGAGCCAAGTGGCCGTCTGCGAGACAGCGAGACACCGCGAAAGTCAGCCTGGGCACACACACACACACACACCCGCAGCCTGGCTGGGAGTTTGTGTGTGCCCAGGCTGAGTTCCGCAGTGTCTCGTCGACCCCAAACCAGTGAGCCAGCTCACAGTGTTCCGCTCCTCGCAGCAGCGAGCCTCGCAACGTCCCGCCGAGTGTGTGTGTGTGTGTGTGTGTGTGTGTGTGTGTGTGTGTGTGTGTGTGTGTGTGTGTGTGTGTGTGTGTGTGTGTGTGTGTGTGTGTGTGTGAGGAAGTCCGCGGATTGGTCCAAACGTAACGGCTCCGTGGACGTAACGTAACGCCCAAGTAAACAATGGAAAAAGAGAAATCCCCAACGAGGCGTTCTGAGGCAGCATAGACAGGTATTTCCTGTGTTAGAGTTTTACTCGCTACAGGGTGTACTTTGAGGGTTTGTGACTCTGCAGACCGTTCACATGCATAACAAGCTACATAACACACAAGGGGACGGGTAATAGCCGGAAAAGCATAACATGGGACCTTTAAGTTTGTATCTTGTGACAACAAAAGGGTTTGCTTTTAATATCCGTCCCGACTACATACTGAACTGTTTCAACAGGGGAAGCACACAGAACAGAGGTCATCATCACCTGACCTTTGCTTAGCGCACACACACTTTCATCAAGCCATGGCCTAGTGCATTGACTCATTGGACTCTAATTAAAAGGAAAATATGTAATCAAGCTGATAAGCTCCACCGTGATCACAACATGAAGCCTTGGCTTGGAATTTATCTAAAGGCTGCAATTATTTACACTCTGCTGATAACAAGTCAGTGTAAGGCCCATTACCCTCCCTCATGGATTTGTTTAACCCTGGCAACTAAGGACACTTGTGTAATTATCCATAGCCCAGATGTTTTTACATGTAGAGAAATATGGATAATAATCAAATAAAAAACATGTTATTAAGGGAAGTGAAAAGAATTGAATGGTGATACTATTACGAAGCGTTGCAAGTGCTGACATACTAAATGATGGCTGACTGATTGGAGGTTGGATAGCAGAGAGTGGAGATGAGAGATGGCCCACATCATCTGCCATGCTGTCAAAGTGTGAAGACGCTTAGGTAGGCTACAGTGTTGGAATGTAACTTACTCAAGTACTGTAATAAGTACCATTTGTAGGTACTTGTACTCCACTTGAATACTTTCATGTTATTCTACTTTATACTTATACCTTACCACATGTTGGAGACCATTTTTTACTTTTTACTCCACTAAATTTATTTTTAAAATTTGAGTTACTAGCTACTTTGCTGGTATGGATTTATAATACTGAACATAAATCATCCAATAAATCATTATGTATTATTATAGGTTATGATACTCAGCAGCATATAAAGTCATTTAAATAATCCCCACCTTTACCAAATCCAACATTAATAATCATAATACAAAAAATTATATTTTTAAATCCGATTTTTTACAATGTAGTATTGCTACTTTCACATGAGTACTTAGTCTTACACCCCAAGTGGTGAAGAAACCCCTTTTTCAAAACAATGCACACAAATGACATTAATGAGACCAACATTATAAATAGCTGGACCTTGTGTAATGCATGTGCACAACGACAATGTAAGAAATATTGTAGCTCTTAGTACAAATCTAGCGGTTTAAAACCGGATGACTTCTGACACCTGCTGTCCTATGGCATGCTGCTGCTGCTGGTGCTGGTGCTGGTGCTGGTGGACCCACGTCAGCTTTTGGTCTACCAGTTTGTTAACGTGGCCTTACTAAAAAAAGATGTACACAAATGACACCCTATGTGATAACTGCAATGACATAAGACAAGCCTACCTTTGCCATTCTGCCACGCTGAGTACCAGGACAGGCTGAGGAACGACGTGAAGAAAATAATCGCAGTGGCCACAGTTCCATTTCTGAGCCTCATCTCATTTCAGCGGTGCCTCTCCTCGGCTTCTATGTGTCGGGGACCCCGGAGCTGCCGTAGCCGCCCTCCCTGCTTATTTTCCGGCGTGAGGGTGTGAAGACGGGCGTAGGCGCCGGCATATGGGGGTGTTAAACTGTTAACGAAACGCTCCAGTTGACCGGGCTGAGACGGGTGCTTGGGTAGCGTCTTCTCGGGTCGTCTTTTTCGGAGGGCTGTCAAACTAGCTCCTCCTGTATCGTCCTACTACCTCCTTAGTCTACTGCCTTCCGTGACGAGACAGTTTACATGGTGGTTAAGATACAATCTAGCTACTGATACTAGCCATTGTATGTTATTTAAATGCAGGCAGACGTTAGCTACAAGTTACAGGCAGGAGGCATTTCGAGTGTGTGACGGTTAGTCCTCCGGGATAGGCTGCTCGCGCTGTGACGTAGGGCTCCGAAAGGAAACGCCCCAAATCATGTTGATTCCGCTTCAACTGGCAACAGATGAATCTAGAAAAATAAAAGCAGCTAGCCTACATCTTAATCATAACACTCAGAAATATGTTCTTTTTTTTTGGGACAAGGTGACATGTTGTTTCATGTTGACATTTTGAATGTAATGTAAACAAATCTCTACATATTCAGTAAAATAAAAGTATACAACGAGCATGGACGCGGGAAGGGGTGGTGCTGAGAGGGCTGCAGCACCCCCATCCGTTAGCACCCCCCCCCAGCTCGTCACAGTTTCGGGGCTGCGAGGCTCCACTAGCCATAATAATAATAGTGGCTTTGTATTGCAAAATATGAAAGTTAGTATATCTATCTCAAAAGAATAACTTTAAAAATTAAAACTCACTTTGCAGAGAAACAAAAAATTGTCCGAAACTTTCTTAAAAGAATGAGAAACTCTAAATATTGAAATGTTCTCAAAGTAAGGATTTGTCTCTTCTAGTTTCTATTTAGTTTGAGATACTACATAATTATTTTCTGATACTAAATCAGAAAATGCACTGTTTTGAAATATCAACTCGTTATTTTTGCTCTAAAATAATTTATTTAACATAATCCAGTATTTACTGATAATTAGTCATTTTGTGATAGTAAGCCAATATTTAAAGTTAAGTTTCTAACTATATCATGTACATTATTATTATTTACATCAAATTGGCGAAATGTGGCTTCCATACTTGTCATCATATATTTAACGGACATAACGGCAAATTAACGGATGAGCTACGTGACGTCATCACGTGATTATTGGCAAAAAGCAGTTAAGAAAGTTACGAAAGCGAGAGAGGAAAACGATAAATTGTCAATTGTTTCTAAAAGTGATTGAGCCGATAGAGCACAAGAACCATCGTATTATAAGAGGATAGCTCTTCTTTGCTTTTAAAGGTGAAACTATATTCACTTTCACCTCAGTTTAATCAGTAGAGTGAATTGAGCTTCCTGTTTTAGAATGAAAGGAAAACAGGGACTATTTCGCATTTTTGTTCAGAGTTGGTTTTACAGTTAATTAATATAATTCATGCCTTCTTACTGCTTTTAAAACATGTAGTTTTTTGTAATAACCTAACGTCTGTCTGTCAAGAGACTAGTGACAGCTGGTCTTCCGGTGGTGACTTTCAAAATAAAAGTGTAGCCTACCTGTGGTGCAATACGTGAATTGTTGGGCAACTCGAAATGGACGCTTTTTTAATCCGCATACAAATATAACATTGCCATGGGCTGTTTTCGAGTCGTTTAAAAATAATTCTGAAAAGGTGGAGGTTCTTCCCCTTCTACAGCGGTAACAACATCCTAGTTTGAAATACCTCAAATGTAAGAGAGCAGTGACTCTTAATTTGAGAGGTATAAAGCGCGTCATCTAGTGGCCAGACCTTTAACCTCATTCATCTACATGAATGCTTGCTGTTTGTATGTTGTCTCCTCCTGAATGTTGTACGTCTCTTGTTGGTTTTTGTATTTTTGATGGCACCTTAAAAAAAGGAGTAGCTCTACTCATCTCATTGTATACCTGTATAATGACAAAGGATTCTATTCTATTAATTTGCATTATCCTCTTCATCTGGCATGTTTAAAACCACTGGCAAATCTACATTAAGAACACAGTCCTATCATGTATTACCCCTCATCTTCACATTTAAATACAAGGATTGTCATTTAAAAACATTATTTCTGGTAACAAGTGTTGGGAGATAACACTCAAAATATGAATTCCTATCATTTGTTATTGTACTACTGCCACAGCTAGTGAATTGTCCAAGCTAACTTCACCAAATTCGATATTTGTTGCCAACGATCATTTTTTCTCTCATATTTTAGCTTGAATAATGCATGCATGCAGAACTACATTGTAAAACATTTTCAAGTTATGAGGTAGAAAACACTATTGATAGGCTGTGATGCTTTGTCTATATGCACACAGTATCAAAACTTCATATTTTGCCTATGTAGGACCAGAGTTCATTCTTGAACCGTCACAATTGCGTGTGCTAACATTCATTTATTTCAAACAGCATCATTGTTTTAATGCACAACCATAAAATAGTAATCAGTGCTTATAGAGAATATATTCAATTACATTTCACTTTTTTCCCCAGCTGGGACATTTTGACCATTCAATTGAACTAGCTTAATGACTTGAAATACATTCACACACCAAACAAAAAACTGATTTTGTGTGATGGGTCAAGTTAAAGGGCAAAAGAGAAAAAGAAGACCACTCTCTTTCACAAATTAAAAAATCAACAAATATGAGAAAGTAAGAATATGGCACATTGCTGCTTTGGGACTTCTTGCCCCTTATAAAGTGATATTTTTAGTTAACACAGCTGTACTAGTTTGTGTATCTGATGATGCAGAAGGACGTATGTTCTCAGAAAGGTGTAGCTTTAAAATAGTCCTCCAGGGGAATGAGTGATATGCCTCCGACCCAGTCCTGCAGCCAGACCTGGATCAGCTCCAGCTTCATGAAGAACCAATTGTGTCCCACTGGCCACTTTGCCATCACAGGATGTCTAAAAAATAAAGAGCCACACATGAAGATAGCAGCCAAAACGTGCACAATTGTGTTGTTTTCCCACATTTCAGGGCTGAATGTAGCCAACATGTATTTAGGATTACCTGAGTATCTGCCATTATTTAGCCCCTTTAACTGCATATGATGTGATCATATATTTATAAGGATGCACTTAAACTGTTCATCTTAAAAAATCATATTTAAACTTTAAAAATACATATATTTGACCTCGCTTAAGGAAGAAGCATACCGTTCAACATGACTCAATACTGCTGCTACTTTTTCAAAATGTTCACCAACAGAACTTTTAGCAGCATTTTTGATTGTTCAGCACTATTCAAACATTTATCTTAATTCAAAGCGTAACTATGTGCAAAACAATAACATCTAAATACTTATCATAACAGATAAATAACAACTCTACCTTTAAATACTGGACATACAATGAAGACTCCATATGTCAAGGTTAAGGGACTGCATAGGATGTTCCTTATATTTTCTAGATATCCAATCCTGTGATTTTGGATAGTATTGGATTGGCCCATCCAAGTTACCTTGAGAACATTGCCTCCTTTGCAAACACAAGCTCCTCTGGTACCACATCCACCATCTTGCCGGTTAGAGTGAGTCGAGCACATCTTGGATCTTCTGGATCATACACCATTTGCCTTGAGACACAGAACACCATGTTGTAGTTAAAACACTCAATAGGGGTTATAGTTTTTCTGAGCCTCTTAGTGGCAACAGAACGGGCCAACAAAGCAGATACTAAAGCTCAATTTCCAATAGCTGTGTAAAAATCCTATCATTTATCCAATATCATTGATATAAATCATCTTTAGAATATGCATTTATTTTGAAAAAAAGCAGATATAAGTGTAACAAATTGTGTTAAATGAACAAATGACATCATATATTGATCACACAGGCTCATTAATCGGTTCAAGTTGTAACTATAATGTGGCAGGCTTTGTGATGTAGGCAAATATCCTATCATTTTCCAAATGGTAATATCTTATTGTGATGAACCTCAAACTGACATAAAGTCCTTACGGTACTTCTTCCTTTATCTGAAACTGAAATACCCTTTTTCTAGAATAAAACGTTTTAGGACCTTCATTATGTAAATGATGTGCTTTCTTTCCTAATTTGTTAATCAAATAACCACTCAACAAACCTTGAGGGCAGTTGGTATTTAAGCAGGAACAAATTGTGTATAATGCCTACATTAGGGAAAGAACTGGGAGTTAATGGGGACCCACAAGTTCATTTCTGCCTTAGGAGGATTTAGCAAACTATTAGGTGTATTACTAAGTTGGGGCTTACCTGCAGAATTCTCCCTCAGCCTCTGAGAATGTGAGAGAAGCGAAGGGGTTACTTCTCAGGTCGGATACAGTGTTGTCCATCGGAGTAACGTAAAAATATACGACTCCAGTGCTGTTGTCCCCCGGTCCATCACTCACCGAGAAGATGTTCCCGAAGGGAAGACCTTTGATCTGTGGAAAACAGTAAGAGATTACCAATTCTAACACATTGCTTGAAAGCGATTTGAAAAAAAGAATTGAGTACATTAGAGATTGGTTGGTGGTTACCAAGCTGTGGCTGCCAATGAGGTTCATGTCCTCATGATATGATAAACAAATGATTACTTTATATCGACCAAATATTTTTGGACCTTGAGCATGTCTTAACTTTGAGCACATACATTTCAATTATTTTTGGCCAAAATATTACTGAATGAATAAAGGGTTAAGTATTTCCCCACAGGAATTTCATAGACGACCTTAAACAACATTTAAACTCAGTAAGAAATAGAACATGCTTAATCAAAATCAGAAACATTTTGGATACACAATTTAGAGTGACATGGACTCATATGACCCGAGTTGTAGTGGAAGAAGTACTCAGATCCTTTACTTAGTAACTCAATGTACAAACGCTTAAACAAAGTATTCCTGTATTAATAGAATCGGAGGGATGAAACCCCTCTTTAAATGGTCACACATGCAGAGCACACAGCACACACAGTGACATTTGGCCTCTGCATTTAACCCATCCTGGTACCAGGAGTCTAGTACTAGGAGCAGTGGGCAGCTATTGTACAGCGCCCGGGTTTACTGTAGCAACATTATGCATAATCATCTCTTTAGTATGTTAAAAGTATGGAGCCCCCTAGTTCCTGACAGTTTATGTTTTGTTCCATGCTATGTGCAAGATTTGAAAAAACCTCAGGGCTTTCTTCTCAATGTTATGGTTAGACAAGTTCAAACTGTATCATTGTCATGGGTACACATAGTGACCTTTCATAAATCACAGCATAGCTTTGCACAACTGAACTGCTCCAACAAAATCAGCCACATAACTAAAAACACATGTAA